AATAATTACCGCGACAGAGTCATCCCTTTGTTAACCCTCAGTTATACCCTTTAAGAAACCTTGAGAATCAGCAATTTCATTATCAGAATCTTCATTATCCATAATTTCGTCAAATATATCAGCTACTTCAGACAAACAATCAGTATCTTCTTCAAAATCACTTTCGTCTGAATAAATCGATTCGCTTGAAGAATCCACTTTTAATTTTTTTAAATTAACCGATTTTCTGAAAAATAAAATTATATATATTAAGTAAAATAAATATGAGAAAATTTTTGTAAGCAAAATTAAGTATGGGAATAAATTTATGATGACTTTTATATTTTTCTAATAAAATTTAGAGGAAAAAAGAAAAAAGGCAAGAAGTAGAAAAACATCAGAGAATGCATAATAAGGCGTAAATTTAAAAGCATCTATGACGCATGCTAAAATATGAGAGCGGGGTTTTTGGAAAGACTTGGGGTATCCAGAATCAACCAGAAAAATCCTCGGCAAGCTTCAGAACAGAGGAGAACCCTCTCTCTCCTTCTCCTAACCAAGGAACCGAAACCTTTCACTGAATTAACCTAAATTAAATTAAACATAAATTGGAGCAAAAAGGAGCTTAGAAAACTTAAATGTTGGCAGATGAAATGTTTATATAGGGGCTAGGCTTGGCGGAAAGAAGATAAAAAGAGGATGAAATATAAGTTTTAAGAACAAAAAAAGGTAATGGTGCAGAATTGGGGAGACACCTTAAAAACACCTTAAAAATTTGTATTTTTCTTCTGCAAACAATTTTATATAGGTAATCGACCATGCTGATCACGAATCCGAGCTTAGAATTTGTTTATTTCGAACCCCGGACCCGAATTCGACCAAGTCGAGTTCGGGGTAAAAAATTCAAAATTACGATATTACAGTTATCCTGACTCGTCTCATTATTCTGAGTCGAATGGTAGCAAAATTATTAGGTTTCGACCATTTTAAACGAAGTTATGGTGTCTGATTTATATACAGAAGTCTAACCAAACGTTATTTAATTGATCATAACTTCGTCCAAAGTTGTCGAAACTGAATAATTTTGATACCATTCGACTCAGCTCAAATAGGCGTGTCAGATTAGCCCTAAATACTTAATTTCGAATTCTTACCCCGAATTCGACTTGGTCGAATTCGGGTCCGGGTTCGAATTAAATAAATTCTAAGCCCAGATTCGCGATCAGCATGGTCGATTACCTATATAAAATTGTTTGCAGAAAAAACTAGAAATTTTTAAGGTGTTTTTAAGGTGTCTCCCCAATTCTGCACCATTACCCAAAAAAATATTTGAAAGATGTAATGAGGCAAGTTTTGGAAGGCAAAAATAGATTTAAAAAAATAACAAAGTAAAAAAATATTTTATGGATTATAACATAATATTATAAAAAACAACAAGTTAAAAAACGAATTTATTCAAAATAAAATTTTAAAATTTCAGAGAATAATAAAAATATTTAAAATCAAAATCGAAAGAAAAACCACGAAATTCAAAATTTCCACATTTTGAATTTTTTGGGAAATTTTTGCCTGGAACGCCAAATTATTTCCACCCTTCAAACACAGGACAACATACAAAAAATTTATTGAATTTTCTTCACAAATTGGTTTTAACCTTAACAGGGTTAAAAAATTCACTTCCAGCGAGTATTCTGGCAGCACCGTTTACTCCCTTACCAAGCAGAATTGGAGAAAGAGGCTGACAATTACTTTTCTAATATGAAATCAGGCTTGGGTTATTCTGTGTTGATGAGGGATGCAAGACCTGGATTGCTTATCTGGGTGTATGAATTAGACAGGTTTTGAATTTTTATTTTTTTGGTTCCCTCCATATTGGCTTCTCTCCTAAAAAATTTCTAAAGAATAAAGACTAGCAAATTTATGCAAAAATTCAGTATCTTTAATTATTGACTGCTCAAGTTGAGTAAATTGGGAATATTCACGATTTGACCAGTCTTGATGTAATGGAGAAGCATAGACTTTGAATTCTTTAGGCCATGTATAAAAGCCCCATCATAAATTAGAAAACTAAAAAATAAATTTTTAAAGATAAATTATAATTAACCTATTATCCTTTCTAATTCCAAATTTAATAGGCCATTTAGCGCCAACTCCATTATTTTCTCCTCCATCCTTCAAATTAATATTTTTAACAATCTTCTTTGCCTTCTGCCGATTAATTTTAAACCAAGAAGCACAAAAACTAGTTGCTAATTTTCTTGTTTTAATTGAATCGGATATTAATAATTGAAAGAAGTGGAGAACAATGTTTGATTCTAACATAATGTCTCGACGTAATAAAAGTCGCAATAAGTTATGAGCAAAATAGAGTTGCCTCCAGTGTATTTTGTTGTTACAACAAATGTTAAACAGATTTGATCAGATCATACCATTGTATACCGACGCAATACTAGCTTGGGCTTTAACTCAGCTTTAAGTCTCTTATTGCGTCGGTATACAATGGTATGATCTGATCAAATCTGTTTAACATTTGTTGTAACAACAAAATACACTGGAGGCAACTCTATTTTGCTCATAACTTATTGCGACTTTTATTACGTCGAGACATTATGTTAGAATCAAACATTGTTCTCCACTTCTTTCAATTATTAATATCCGATTCAATTAAAACAAGAAAATTAGCAACTAGTTTTTGTGCTTCTTGGTTTAAAATTAATCGGCAGAAGGCAAAGAAGATTGTTAAAAATATTAATTTGAAGGATGGAGGAGAAAATAATGGAGTTGGCGCTAAATGGCCTATTAAATTTGGAATTAGAAAGGATAATAGGTTAATTATAATTTATCTTTAAAAATTTATTTTTTAGTTTTCTAATTTATGATGGGGCTTTTATACATGGCCTAAAGAATTCAAAGTCTATGCTTCTCCATTACATCAAGACTGGTCAAATTGTGAATATTCCCAATTTACTCAACTTGAGCAGTCAATAATTAAAGATACTGAATTTTTGCATAAATTTGCTAGTCTTTATTCTTTAGAAATTTTTTAGGAGAGAAGCCAATATGGAGGGAACCAAAAAAATAAAAATTCAAAACCTGTCTAATTCATACACCCAGATAAGCAATCCAGGTCTTGCATCCCTCATCAACACAGAATAACCCAAGCCTGATTTCATATTAGAAAAGTAATTGTCAGCCTCTTTCTCCAATTCTGCTTGGTAAGGGAGTAAACGGTGCTGCCAGAATACTCGCTGGAAGTGAATTTTTTAACCCTGTTAAGGTTAAAACCAATTTGTGAAGAAAATTCAATAAATTTTTTGTATGTTGTCCTGTGTTTGAAGGGTGGAAATAATTTAGAGTTCTAGACAAAAATTTCACCAAAAAATCAAACCTAAGCTCACGTTATGTGCATGTAAATTACAATAAAAGGACCAGTAACCAACTTTCCCTATAGGTTTTCCTTTCGAAAATCCACTCATCAACAAAAATTAAATTAAAAAAAAAATAAACTTTGTCGTCTTCTAAAATTAGCCAAAAGTTGTTCCAAAGGTTTGGTTAAAAATTGATCAACCAATTTTGTAGCATAATCAACTTCTTCATCTGTTGGGATGTGCCAATTTAAAGTCTGCAGCAGAAGTTATATACCAAATTAAAGCTCGATCAACTTCCTCTTCTAGCTCAGAACCGGCTGAATAAAACATTTAAAATAAATTTTAAAAAATAAATAAAAACCGTGATAATGTTCCTCAAACTTTTTAACAGCAAAATTGAAAAAACGAGGAAATTGAACTTCTGGGTGGTTCTAAAAATTTATTTTTTTTTAAATCTTGTTCAGTAAAACATGGCTATAGCTATTCCTCCTTCAGCTAATGCAAAAGGTTAATCGGCGACTAGAAGTGAAACAGCACTAATTTGAACGGTTACCCATCACCCCACGCCACCTCCTGCATAGCCTTAGGAATTGAATGGCTATCTACTATACACTACCAATCAACTTTTCCCTTACTTTAGATTGTCCTGTAGTTTTCTTTATTCTCAAGCAATTGAACCAAATTATCAACAAATAATTTGTAGGAATAAGACCACCATGTAAAAGAACCATCAAGCACTTTTTGAGCTGTTTGCCGTACTAGAGAGTATGTTGATGTTGAAAAGCGAAATGCCAATTGAAGAGCTTCCAAATGAGTTGGAGTTAGGGGACAGACAAAGTTTTAAATTGTGCAAAAACAATTAAACATTTAAGGCTTTTATACTAAAGTTTTAAGACAATGTGTCTAATAAAACAGAACGCCAAACAAAGGAATAAAATAGGCGTTATTTAAATGTAAATAGAATAAACCGGAAGTAATTGTATTTTCCGGAAGCATTTTCCGGAGAGTTTAATATAACTATAGTGTTATTATATTTTCCGGAAAACTCATTCCGGAAAATTGTGTTAAATGGTTGTATTTTCCGGAAGAATTAAATACAATCAGTATTGTTGTATTTTCCGGAAATTTTCCGGATACTTTTAATATCAACTACATATAACTAAAACAATTCCGGAAAAATCAGAATTTAATGTATTTTTATTGTATTTTCCGGAAACATTTCTGGAGAGTTTAATACAACAAGTGTTATTATATTTTCCTGAAAACTTATTCCGGAAAATTGTGTTAATTAGTTATATTTTCCGGAATGTTTGTTAAAATGGTTATATATTCCGGAAAATTAAATATAATCAGTATTAGTGTATTTTCCGGAAGCATTTTCCGGATACTCTAATATAACAAGTGTTATTATATTTTCCGGAAAACATATTCCGGAAGGTTTTGTTAAGTTGTTATATGTGTTTTCCTGAAGAATTAAATAGAATCAGTATTATTGTATTTTCCGGAAATTATACTTTTAATATCAACTATAAATTAAACAATTCCGGAAAAATCAGAATTTAATGTATTTTCATTGTATTTTAGTAAAATCAATATAACGTATGTAAATACTCTTTATTTCTCGTTTCTTGATCGCCCTTTAAAATTTGGAGATTTTTATCTTTAATTAAATTTTTATTCCTTTTAAATTCTCTCTTTTCTATCCAAATCACAGTCAAATTGATATTTATCCGCAACTCTTTTGAGAGGAAAACTTGTATTTTTAATTTAATTTATTTTTTCTTTAAATTAATTTTTAAAAATGCCCCAAGTTGTGAAACGTATTTCTCCAGAGATTGAGACACTTTCAACAATTGAAGGACTTAAGTTGATTAAGCAAAAGGTAGTAGATAATGTTTATAAGAATTAAATCAGAATTAAATCATAACGAAAATCAGAATTTAAAAATCAGAATTTAAAAATCAGAATAAAAATCAGAATTAAAAATCAGAACAATTTAAAAATCAGAATTTATAAATCAGAATTTAAAAATCAGAATAAAAATCAGAATTAAAAATCAGAACAATTTAAAAATCAGAATTTATAAATCAGAATTTAAAAATCAGAATTAAAAATCAGAATTTAAAAACCAGAATTAAAAATCAGAACAATAGAAGAACAGAATACCAGAAATTTAACAATATTTGTATTTCCGGAACATTTTTTCCGGAAAGCTGTGTTTAAGCTATAATTAAAAATGTGTTTTTTCCTGAAAGCTCTATTTTTTTGTATTTTCTCCACTTCAGACTTTTCTTCTAGGTATTTCCTGATGAAAGGGGCTTCTTCAGTGAATCTTACAATGCTCGTGAGTGGAAAGAGGCTTTAGGGTTTGAGGAACATTTTCTGCAAGATAATCACTCATATTCAAAATTTGGAGTTATTCGAGGGTTACACGCACAAAAAGGGATGGGAAAACTTGTTTCTGTACTTGCTGGCTCGATTTTTGGTTGAAAAATAATTTTTAAAAATTAAAAAAAAATTAAAAAAATAAGTAAATAGATGTTGCAATAGATGCACGTTTGGGCTCTCCGACTTTTGGTAAATGGCATGGTATTGTGTTGGATGCTAAGGAAAAGACTTCTTTTTGGATCCCTGATGGTTAATAAATTTAAGAATTTTTTTTTTGAATAATTTTGCTTAAATTTTTAATCTTTTAAAGGATTTTTACATGGTTTTCAGGCAAGTTAAATTTAAATTAAGATTTTCCGGAAGCCTTAAAGATAATCGGAATTATTTTTAATTTTCCGGAAAACTTAAAAACAAGAATTATTATATTTTTCCGGAAAACTCTATTTAAATAAAGATTTTCCGGAAAACGAATATTAATCATTTTCCGGAAAGCTTTATGTATATAAAACCAGAATTATTATATTTTCCGGAAAATTATATTTAAATAAATATTTTCCGGAAAACACATATTTTTCCGGTATTTCCGGAATATTGTATTTAAATGAAGATTTTCCGGAAAACACATATTTATTCATTTTCCGGAAACTTAAGTATTTTTATAATTATTTTATTTCCAAAAAATTGAAGTGAAGGTTGAATTATATGTATTTTCCGGAAATCATTTTAAATTATGTAGAATGTCTATTTTCCGGAAACATTAAAAACAAGAATTATAGTATGTATTTTCCGGAAAACTATTATTCTGTTATATTTCTTTCTTATTCAAGTGTATTTCTGAGGAGGGTGCTCATGTGGTTTACAAAGTTAGTAATTAAAAAATAAATTTAAAAATATTCTGATTTTAGTGTACTTCTGAGTATGATCAAGAGAAGGAATTTGGTGTTGACCCTTTTGATGAGCAGGTATTTACTCGACCTTGTAACTTCAAAAAGAATTTTTAAATTAAAGATAGGCATTGTTTGGCCTGTAGTAGACAAGTCAAAATGGGTGGTCAGTGAACGTGATCGAGTAAAAATTAACAAAAAATTAATTTAAAAATTTATTAAATTTAGAAACATCCATCATTGAGCACTCTAAACGGAGTAAATGAATAAACAAAAATAATAATTTAGAGGTCACTTGTCTTTTTCATTCTTTAGCCTCACAAAAGTGTAATTGAGTTAAAAATAATTTTTAAGTGGTGATTGAGTAAATATTTTCTATTTGTTTTTGTGTTTTTCTAAACAAATTTATTAATGTTTTATTCCAAGTTTATTTAAAACATTTAAATATTCCAACATGTTTGTCAAACATTAGTTTAACTTGTTCAACTTTTGAAAAATGCTTCCAACTTGTTTCTCACTACAATAACAATAAATATTAAAACAAACTTGTTTCCCAACACCAAACATTTTCTAATTTGCAAAACACTTCCAACTTGTTTCTCACAAACATTCTAACTTGTTTTCCCACACATAAAAACATTCAAAAACATTCACAAACATTCAAACTTGTTTCACAAACATTCGCTTCTCCAAACATAATAGAACTTGTGTTTGTCTTAAAACATTTTCTGAATTTCTCTCAACATTCTAAAATTCCAAAAACACAATTAATTAAAAATACAATTGTAAAAAAAGTTTTTATAATTAATTGCAACTTGTTTTTGTTTCTTTTTGGATTATCAAGAAAAGAAAAGAAAAATGTTGTGGGTAAAGAATAGGCTGCTTTTTAACGCCAACCGGTCCTCACACATAAAAGGTATATTTTTGATTAAAAAAAGTCCGGGACGGACAGTAACACGTAAAAATAACGTTGTATTTGGGATTAATTATTTTTCTTTTATTTTTGTTTCTTTCTTATTTTTTTCCTTGAGAAATTAGGAAAATCCTCAATTTTCTAAGCAAAAAAATTTTAAAAAATTCACCAGCCTTTAAAAACAATTTTATTTAATTTTTAAGTAAGAACCCCGAAAATTCTCCAAGAGAAAAATAAATTTCTAAGGAAAAATTTAATTTTGTCTTCATAAAAGCGGAAATAGGCAATATAAACTAGACAATAAAAAAGATTAAAAAATGGGTGAATGAATAAATGGATCACAACACATCGCCGAAATTATATTTTTTAGCTTAAAGCCGATTTGGTGGACACAGAGTTTTTGGGAGGGGATCGATTCGAAAAGCAAAGAAAATAAAATAAAAGGAAATCAGCTTTTATTTTATAATGCACTCTTTTAGGAAAATATACACAAACACAACTTTGTTATCAAACAAAAATAGGATGTTTATTAAAATGTTTTTGTGTTTTGTTTAGACAAAACATCAAACCTTTTTTTCTCTAATTTTAATTCAAGTTTAATTTTATTTTTTTGCCAAACATTAAAACATGTTTCCCCAACATGTTTTTCCCCAACATGTTTTTCCTTAACTGTTTTTCCCCAACATGTTTCCTCAACATTTTTATTTCAACATGTTTCCCAAACACAAATAATAATTACAACTTTTTTCCAAACATTTAATATAAACATTTTCAAGTTGTTCCCAAACTAATAAATTTCCAACTTGTTTGGCAACACCCAATCATATCAAAACTTGCTTAGTACAAACATTATTTTCCTTAAAACATTTAAACAAATTTTCTGTATATTTCCAAACATGTTTTTCACAAAATATAATGTTTCCAACTTGTTTCCCAAACATTTTAAATTATTTATTTAATAAAATGTTTTAATAGACAAAAATGACTACAGTAAAAGATTCAATATTCGACCTAGGCCAATTCCAAATTCCCCGTCCAAAATGTATCGGAATGGAATTTGTTACTATTCGTGGGACACATTCGGGGTTCTATAGAAGCATAAATAAAAATATTGCACAGAAGTATGGACTTCAGCAGCGAAATTTCGAAGTTTCATCAAGTAAACGACCAAGTATTCCCGAAGAATGGACTAAAAACAACGAGGAAAGTGGGAATAAAATCAAGAATAAAAAAGAGAATAATAATGGAAGCATTCCGGAAGAATCAGAAAATGTTTTGGAACCTTTGCCTGATTATGAAGTTGAAGGGAATGAGGGAAAGAAAGAGGGGATGGTTACTGTGGAAATTGAAATGAGGTAAAAAATCAAATTTATAAATTTGATTTTTGACATTTTGAAATATTTTTAAAAATTAAAATAAATTTTTTTTCAAGGAAAGATGCTATCGCCGTTAATAAGAATGAATTGTCGCCCCCTCTTAAAGAAGAAATGAATAGAATGGCCTTGTCGAGTACACACAACAATGAAAACAAAACAAATATTAATGAAGAAAAAATAAATTGAGGGAGAAAATTGAAAATTAAAATAATTAATGCAATTTTTAAATTAATCCCATAAATGATTTTAATAAAATTAAAATATATAATAAAATTATAGATTTCCAATAAAATCACAGATTTTAATAAAGTAGGCTAAAAAATATGTTCTTGAAGTAGGGTGATGAAGAAAAAATAAATCGACGCCCCCAAGAAACCCCAACCCCAACTCGGAGGATTTTTTTGGCAAAAACCCCGACCCGAAACCCCAAAGGCTTTACCCCGACAAACCCCGATCCCTGACGCAAACCCGTAGTCAGGTAAAAAATACACCCCCTAAGGATGGAATTTTTGGGAATTTTTCAACAGTTATGTAAGAGGGTGAGATTCAAATGTGAGTTTTTCATTTTGCAACAAAGAATGGGAAAATTTTGGTCTTTTTAAATAAAATCAAAATAATGAAAGATTAGAAGATTGGAATTTGAACGGATTAAATTTAGGTTAAAGCCAGTCAATTTATTTTTAATCATAAACAACTGAACTTCATTTTACTGTACACCCTTAGGGGCTAGAAGATTTATATCTTATAGCCAGATTATTTTACGTGGGGATATCGCTTAGACATTTCATCTTTCTCATCAAGTAGCTAAACAAATTTAAAAAGCTAAAATTGTATTGGCAAAATGTATTTTAAAGAGTATCGGCTTTAGTATAAAAGCCTTTGTATTATTTAGTCTCGACATCAGTGCTTTGTTATTCTATCACTTTTCTAAATTGTTTTTCATCATTGTTTTCTTTTTTAGTGCAAAGATATTATGATTTAGTAGTCAACAAATTCTGGCTTTTGTCCAGATTAAGCGTCCAATCGCTTCTTAAAGCGTCTTATTGTCTTTGCGCGTCTAAACAAATTTTTATGCGTCCAACCATATTTTTGTTTTCAATCTACGGCAATAAGTAGCCGATTTTGTGTGTTACACCGGCTGAGTAGTCACGCAGAACGGGGTACTTATCAAAGGTGGGTCGGAATTCCGGTTTCCGACTTTTGAGCCATTTCAGATTTCCGACAGTTCCGATTTCCGACCTGCCTGGAGTGGACGCATAAAAATTTGATTGGACGCATAAACGTTTATTGAACGCGTAGTCTGTACAAGAGCCCCAAACTTTTTTTAAATTTAATTTTTTAGTGCTCTATTAAATTTTCTTCAAAAAATGCTTTATTCTTTACCAACAGAAACAAAACTTGATGTTTTTAAATTCCTCAATTATCAACAATTATATTCAATCAAGCAAACAAATTTATATTTTCGTGATTTTATTAATAATTTTGGAGGAGAACTTGCTTTGGAGAATTTTTCTTCAATTTCTATTGTAAAAATTTTTTACTTGATAAAGTAATATTTCTGTAAATTAAGGAATATTATGGTGAATCGTTACGTAATTGTACGCAAAAACTACATAGATCCATAGTTGAAAATTTTGACTTTCCATTGAATGAGCAACTTGAAGAGAAGGTAATTAAACTGTTTTTAAAAGTAAAAAAATTTCCTTTTTGTTTTTTAGTTAAAAAATGTTCCCGTGTGCTTACGAACATTTAGAATTTTTAAAGATGGGTTTTGCTTAACTAAAGGTAAATTTCATCTTTTTTCAAATCCATATCAGTCGCAAAAAGTTTAAGCTTTTACTAGGCGGAAATTCATGGGGTATCAAGTGGAAAAATTCATGGGGTATCAAGTGGGATACTTTCCGCCTATTATACAAACGGGAAAATAGCTAATTCTTTTGACTTCAATTTTGGGTCCCCACAAAAGGACATCTGCCCCAAAAGATCAACTCAATATTTGGACGTATAAAGCAGGGGTGCGTTTAGTCTCGTATCTCGTATTTTGTGCGGCTCTGCTCACCCCTGGTATGTTTCTTATGATCAAGCATAATCACTAGAGCTGCCGTTTTCGAGTCGGACTGACATTTTTTTCAGGTCTTGTTTTTATTGGACCGGGGCCACTTTCAGGCCTAATTTTGACAACTCTACTGCTTACCCTTAATTTCCATAAATTCATCCTAATCAGCCAATATCCATCGATATCCCACTTGATACCCATGAATTTTTCTTGATCCGCACAAACATTTGGAGTTGACTCCCCCCTTTTTATACACATATTTTCTGTAGTTTGTTCAATTTAACGAATTTCAGTTGATGGCGGTAAAGATCGTTGTGGATTTATACTTCCAACAATTATTACAAACAAAGAGGACATCAAAATTGTTTATTATTATTTAAATAAATTATTTCATTGTTATTTCCGTCTTGGAAACTTTAAACAATTTATATTCAATCCAGAATTGATTCAATTATTATTTGGAAATTCTAAACAAGTTAAAGTTCAAAGATGCTATCTATTTATTTCAAAACACAATATTGAGAATTTATTTCAATTTATTTTTAATCATTTAGTCAGTGAACATCTAAGAATTGAACTTTGTTTATTCAAAGACATTATGGAAAAATATAAAGATAATTTATTTAAAATTTTAACAAATGGAGACAATTTTAAAGAAGTTAATTTGACAGTTTCTATGGATATTAATAAAATAATTTATGATCAGATTGTTGAAGTAATTTATATGGCATTTGTGTAGTTCCCCCCCCCCCCCCCCCCTCCCTCTTCCTCCATAAGTCCCTTCCCCTTTTTTCTTCTCTTTCCTTCCAAAAAATGACATTTAGGTCAATATTTTCATTTCAGCTTACCCTATGACGATAAATGTATTTTTGAACCTACGGGTAGTGCTGTGAGTGTGAACAGAACTCAGGGTGAGAGAGTTTTCTATTCCCAAAAATTTTTTTGTGACACATAAATTCACAATACAGGCCACAACATAAAAAATTATTCTCTTTATGCGTGCCTATACATATCTCCTCTCTTCTTTATAAGAAAGCAAAAGTGAAGATAAGGAGGCGGAGCTTATAGGGGGGAAACTACACAAGTATCAGTTATATTTACAAAACAATTAAAAATAAATATAAATTTTAGTATATAGCAACATCTACAGACTGTTCAAAAATGGTGCCTATTATTATTGTTAATTTCTCTGTTCAAACAAATGTTCAAATGAGTGAATTAGCTGAAAATGTTGAAATAGAGCTAGGGGTTATTTCAAAATATACAAATTACCAAATTGCCAATATTTACAATCCAGAAGTGAGATTCTCATTTTACAATAAAGAACAACGAAGATGGATTAATCAGCCTTTTTATTCTATTAGAGTTATAATAATGAAACCCGGACATGTGCATAGTGATCCAGACTTTTACAAACACATACATCTTTGATTTTCGTGGAAATAAATATTTTTAAAAATTTTTTGGTTTTATTGTTTTATTAAATTTATTTTCATTACATGTCTGCTTAAAGCCAATTTTTAAAAATATTTTTTTAATATTATTTAAAATAAATGACACGCCCAAGTAGGCGCGCTGCCATGTAGGCGCAAAGCCATAATCAGCTGGAAAATTTCTGGACCCTAACAATTTCGATACCAATTTCTTTAGCTTGATGAGAGGAATCGTTTAATACTGACTTTTGAAAGATTAGAAAATCTTGAAGCAAGTTGCGCTTACTTGGGCTGTACTATTAAAAGAAGTTTGGTAATTTTGAGTTTCGTTCCCCAACTTTTCTCAAAAGACACAGATTTTCTGTCTTCCTCGATTTCCTTAAAAAAGCAATTGATAGAATTAACGCACTTTTTAAATTATCCCAAAATTTTAATAAAAATAATTTAAAAAATATATATCTATTTATCCAATAAAATCATTGATTTAAAAGTAGGCAAAAAATATTTTTTGAAGGCTAAAAACAAATAAAATTAAGTAAAACAAAGAGTAAAATAAGTTGGCAGTGTTTGTGTTCGAGTTTGGCATGTTTTTATTTGAAATGAACATTTATCACAAACTAGAGTAATTTAACTATGTTTAATTATCTATGCAACATTTAATGAACTAAAACAAAATTTCGAACATTCATTCAAACAAGTTTATTTTCTATGTTTTGACTATTCAAACATGTTTTGTTCGTTAGAAACCTTTATTAAGTAATGTTTTATGTTGATGTTTGAATGAATGTCTTAAACATTTTTAAAATGTTTTTAATGTTTTTGAATGTTTGAATGAATGTTTTAAACATTTTTAAAATGTTTATGTTTTTGAATGTTTGTATAATTGTAAAACAATGTTTATTGCTATCATTTAATCATGTTTTTCTTATAAAAACATTTAATTTCAAGTTTATTTATTTGCTGTCTAGTCTTATTGCTATAGAATTGTAAACTTAAGTTTGCAAAACAAGTTGTGCCCAAAAGGGCATAAGCCCTCCACTATTTTTTCCATTTCTCTCACCTATTTAATTTTACCGCCCGCAATTTATTTTGTTTTTAACCACGCCTACCTTTGGCTGTCAAGTTAGCGCTCGGCTGTCCCTAAAATCACTTCTTTCAATCCTTCTTTCAATTTCCAACTTCTCTCAAAATCTTATAATTTTCTAATTCCTTTAAACCCAATCAATTAAACCAACTTTTCTCCCTTCAACTGGGAGCAGGAGAGCGGAGCACTAACTTAAATTATTTGTTCGCATTTTCACCACATATTTTAATCACCAATTTATTCACACCGCGGATCCCGAGCTGTTATCGGACCGCTAAATTTATTTGTTAATTAAATAAATCTTTTCTTCTTTGGTGTGTGTATTTTTGGGGATTTTGGGTAGGCTGTCGTCGTCATCATCGCTTATAAGTTTAAGAGAACTTTTGAGTTCTCTGTCCTCCCTTTATAAGCGTCCGTCCCTCCCATAGCCGGAGGCCGTACAAATTGTGTGTCCACCCGAAAGGGCTTTTGGGCACATATAAAAATTGGAGCCCCGTACGGGTCCGCAGTCCAATCGCACTGCCCCCGTTTCTTCAGGCAATTGTGCCAATCAACACGTCTGCCTTTTTAGGCTAAATTTTGTGTTCTCATCCTGAACACGCGGTTTTGGCCACCAGAGCCAACCGTTATCTGCTCATCAGCCAGCAGCACACGAATACTT